TGGTACTAATACATCGAATATTATTCAACTGGCATAAATACATGAAATCACACAGGCTAACTCAAATGTGAATACATATACAACTTGTATAAACATGGAAATTCTAAGAAACACGCAGTGTAAAAGAAAACATAAGGAAAGTCTTCAAGTGCTGCTCAAGTTATCTTGCCCTTCCCTTTTTAGGAAATCTACGTATCTGGAATATAATAAACAACATGGGGTGAGATAATATTACGTAAATTTGTAAGAAATTGAAAGAAACTTTGTTCAATTGAACTTCATTGAAATAAATCTCACTCTAGTATAAGCACTAAGAGGAGTATAGTAGAGTAATACAATACTGAAAATGAAAGAATTCTCTTAAAGAGAAGTACTTATAGTGGAGAAGGAATTACTACTCAAATCATTCACTATCCTTTGTTTACACACTACTTTGTTATAATTATCCATCCAACCTAGTGCTAGGTGTCCTCATTCTCTGCCCGCGTCTAAGTGCCAAGATTTCCGGATCTGCAATAGAATTATTTCTTCACTATTTGCAGGCAAAATTCTGGTGTGGGGCTCTTTTTGTCTTATATGGCCTAACAATACTCCCTCCATTGAAAGAAACCTTGTCCTCAAGGTTTAAATTGGGGTAATTGAGTTCTATATCAGCTTTGTCTTCCCAAGTCGCTGAAGCATGATCTAATCCCATCCATTTCACAAGAACTTGGGGGTACTAGGTTTGTACCATTGAGAATGAATCCTTGATTTTAACACTATATCCGATTGTATAATGGGACCCAATGTTGATGTAGTTCAAGGAAGAGGGATGTAAGGAGTGGTGTCAGGACCTTTGAAAAATATTGAAGGTGTGAGAAAACATAAGAAATGGGATTTTGAATTGGGTTTTCAAAAATGAAAGTTTTTTTTGAAACTTAAACAAAGATCACAAATAGACTAATCAAGGAAGAAAGACACACGATATATCCTGGTTCACTTGAAAACTGTCAAGCTAATCCAGTCCACCCGCCAAGGTGATTTTGCCATATACACAAGGACTTAATCCACTATAATCAACAGATTAAAATGCACTGGCAACTGCTGGTGACTAACAACACAGACAACCACCTCTTATTAAAGATTCTGACCCAACTGGTCCCTTAAGGAGTTACAAACAATAGTTTGAACAAAAATGTTTACAATGAAATTGCTTCTAAACAAGCAGATATAAACACCATTAATAGCTCAAATGTCTTAAAGACACTAATACAGTATGAATAATATTCTTTCTTTGTATTGTGGTGCTTCAATACTGTAGCTTCAGTTCTTCATAGATTGCTTTCAATCAAAGTGTAACCTTTGTATTAATCACTGTAAAGCTTTTTGATTTCTTCAAGTAATCAAGTCCTTATATAGACAGAAAAAGATCTGTTAGAGGGTATATCAGGAATATCCTTTAGGTAGCTGGCGACTTGAAATAACGTCGTTACTCAGGGATGAAAATCATACACAAAAGTTGTCCTTTTGTTCCACCAAATCAAGGTAGTGGAATGGGAATATCAGATGACTAGTATGAGACTCTGGACAGGTTAGTGACCTAAGTTCTAAGTCAGTATAAATGGAAAGATATGGTGGTCAAAATTTGGGGTACGACAGAACTCAAGCAAGTTTATTAAAGCATGCGACAAGTCTTAAAGAACAAGAAAGTCTGACCTCGATTAGTGTGAGTTAATATTTTATAAAGCTTAAGGGCATTCTCGTAAAAATACATGGTTAAAGCGTACACACACAAATATTTTTTAAATTGATTTTTCTCAAGAAAATATTTTCAAAAATGTCTTGAAGTGTCCCCGATGAGTTTGAAGATGTGTGAAAAGCTCTGAACAAAGTTTTTCCTTTGTCAATTGATTGCCATATTAAACCAATCAATCGGTTCAGTTCATAAATGCGTTCTAAGAGATTAAGACAACATCTTAATGAAGTGTATTAGCTAAATCTTTTCATTACATTAATAACTTGGTAATCGATTATCGTGGTAGCAACTAATCGATTGATATATGTTGCCAATCGGTTGACAAATCATAACTTGGTCTTAAAATGATTTCCTTTTTGAACCAACATCTAGCCTATAAATAGAGGTTCACTCCCTCATTTCAAAAGATCTAGAATCATGTTTCATTTCATACTTCTCACTTTCTCTCTAAATTTATTTTGTTTACTTTTTCTCATTAAGAATTTAAACGAAGTGCTTTTCGAGAAAGTCTTCTTGCAAGCAAGGAAGTTGCAATTTTGGAAGGGTAAATTTGTAAGTTCTCCAAGGAGCTTTTGTTTATAACTTGGTTGAATATTTTATCCAATTAGAGATTGTTTGTTTAGGTTTGAAGCTAAACTCGTAAAAATATTAAGTTTGGAATTTCTGGGATCACGTCTCTTGTATAGGCTTAAGATTAGTCTGTGGTAAAATCTCACCCGAGTTAGTGATATTCTCCCGACTTAGCGAGTTGTGATGTTTCTTCTGCAGGCCAATCCAATCTTGATGACCAGAGGACGTGCCAAACTTTTATGCAGGGGGTGGAATGCAATGGAGATTTAAAAAAAAATAGTTGCTTTATTTTAGTACTTGTTCAAAAAAAATCAAAAATTATAAAATTTTTGTCTAAAGATGTTTGTCCAAAAATGGTTCAAACGATTTGAAAAAATCAAATGTAGATGATTCAAATCTTAGTATAAGGACAAAATAAAGAATGATGGCGTTATAAAAAGGATTATTATTTTAAATGATTCATTTATGATTAACATTGTGATTATATTTTGTTTAATAGCATCACAATAAATTAGTTGCTTAATTTAAAGTTTAAATTTATTAATTGTCTGGTGAAAACATGTTAATGTAAGTCAAGAATCATAAGCTTAAACCAAGTGATATGAATGCATACCTCATGTTTTACCTAAATTAAATATGCATTCTAACTATGATGATTTCATATCATTCTTGTCATTACTTGATGTATATCATGTCATGGATATGATCAATGCATTGTTTGTTTATTGAGTAAAAAACTACTGACCCAAAAATCTACATTGTGAGGGTGTGATCCTTTGACAACCCCTTTGAACCTTATATGTGAAAATTTTTGTTTTTAAAGCTTGGACCGATTTAATAATAATAATAATATTTATACCTTGTCTTAACCATAAGAGAGCATTAGAATTCCAAGAGTTGTAAAAAATAATGAAGTTGGGGAGGACACATTTGAATGTCATTAATATCAAGATTCTGTAGCCCAACCATGTTAAAAAAAATAAATAAAGACCTTAGTGATCTATAACTAATTTGGTACCTTGATATTGTTCAGATGAAATTCAAAATATTTATACAGTTGATGCATTGTCTGATAATTGAGAGAAACATTAATCCATTTGAGTGATACACAGTGCGATAATGATTATGATGAATAATTAATTGTTGATCTAAACATGTTTTAAATCATACTTGAGTAAAACAAATTGTTTATCTTCATGATATAGTTTATGGATGCTTATAATGTTGATTATGAATTTACTTTTGAAGAAAAATTATGTCATACTTTAAAATGATTTTAAAAAATTCTTGATCAAGTTTTGAGATCTTTTAAGATCAATGCATACTAAATTTTATGAACCATTTTGTATTGATTTTGTTTGAGAACGAATACAAAGATAAGTTGGGGGAGAGTTGATAAATGTTAAAAATACGTAAAAAAAAATCATAATCTCTTATAAACTTATTTGGCAAGTAATCAATAAAAACCTCAAATTTATCAACAAAAAAAATGATAAAATGCTAGTGTGAACTTTTTGATTGTGCAATTATCAAAGGCAGGTAAAAAGCACGAACAAAGTACCACAATAAAAAAAAACACCATTTAAACACTAAAACTCGCTTAGTCAATGACCACATCTCGCTAAATAAGAAATAGGCAGCAAAAATTCCAAGGTTAAATTACTTTATGATGAAGTAATGATTAACTCACTAAAGAAACTATAGAAGTGCTGAACGAGATTAAGACAGTCAAAATATTTTTAGAAGAACAGACATTTCTAAAGGAGAAATTACATTTTTAGATGAGCTTGAAGAAAGCAAGAACACAATTAAAATATATACTCTTCACAAAGAATATAAATGTTTTGATGACTCTCTCTAACAACCGTTCATCAATAACAAACCCTTCTTTGTGTTGAGGGTATCATAGTCCATTGAAGATGGTTTTAAAATACGTAGAATGTACTCTCAACCTCTTTTATCTCATGAAAAACACAAACCAGCCCATCAAGAAAAAGTCATGTCCTACTCATGACATAAATATTCAAGTAATATTTAAACAAATGTAACTAACTTTTAAACATGTGTGAGTTAAACAAATAAGGTGGGAAGGCGTAATGGTTATAGTTATAGTCGCGTGTGAGACTATGAACTTTAGCCAGACCAAACTTTTATTAAATGTTGAAACATGAAATATTCATGGGTACCATAATTCCTCGAATGACTAGTATCTTTTGGATGGAACTACAACCACACCCTATCCTTATTTAATACTCCATTTATGTCTAAAAAATCTAAATATATTTTTTTTTTAATTGTTTCTATATATAAACTCTTTTTAAAATAAAAGGATACTAGGACCCATGAGCTTAATAGAGTACTATACTATGCTTAAATAAAATGAAACATATATAGTATCTTTTCATATTATATACTTTTGTTAACATAGAGTCGTAGAAGCCTATCAACCTAGCTAGCTAATTGAGATTTTCTCAAGCATCACATATGAAATTTAATTGTTACATAAAATAAAAGTTACTAATTGGATATCAGTAGTATAATGTTGCTAATAAGCAAACATAAACCAAACTCTTAAATATTAGTCATTAATTTAGTAAATAAATTACTGGCAATATTGCAGTCTGCATTCTGAAGATATAATAATTCCAAAGGATAGAATATTTGTAAAGTATAGTAAATAATAATAGTAATAAACTTAAATTATTCTAGGGACAATAACAGCTTTGAGAGGATTCTTCATAACAACAGTAAAAGCGAATGTCTCAGTCGGGTCGGGCGGGTTATTCGGAACCGGTAACCACCTAAACGCCAGCACCATTTTTGCCATCAACATGTTTATATGCAAAGTTCCCAATGTCCACGCCGGACAAATCCTCCTCCCCACACCAAACGGCATCATCTTCACCTCTTTAGTTCCGGTTACATCCACGTCAACTCCATCTCCATTCAAAAACCTCTCGGGTCGAAACTCATTTGGATCCTTCCACATACTCGGATCCTCCGTTAACCAAGCCGTGTAAAACTCAACACTCGCATCCGCCGGAACAGTGTAACCACCAAGCTCCGTCTCCTCCGTCGCTGCATGCGATAGCACAAAATGACTCGGTGGATGTCGCCGGAATGTTTCCTTCACTATAGCACCGAGATAAGACATTTTCTCAACATCACTATCCATAACAACACCGCATTTTCCAACGCAGTCAACAATCTCTTTATATAACCGCTCTTGAATCTCTTGATCCATCACTAAATGAAGCAACGCCCATTCCACCGCCGTCGCGCTCGTATCAGTCCCGGCGCTGATAATCTCCGACACAAGCGTAACCAACTCCTCTTCTCCTAACCTTCCTCTCCCAGGAACTTCCAACTCAAACAACGAATCCACGTATGCAGCCCCAACCGGACTCACCTGTTAGAATAATTATTTAATAAATTAAATATAAATTGACATAATTAATTATAAATAAATTATATTGCCCTAAATTGTTATATCACACTCACCATCTCTGGATCTCCATTATTTCCGTTACTCTCCACGTAAGCTTTCCGTTTTCTTATTAACGGTGCTATTAACTCCACCTGTTTCTTTCGCAGCTTCCTCGCTTCTTTCACATGTCCACGGAATAACGGAGTTAAAACGGGTAAAAAATCTGGAAGCTTCGGAAGAGTAATGAGCATGACTTCTTTGAGAACACTCTCAATGTCTCTGATTCGTTCTTCAGTTATCTTCGCACCGAAACAGAGACAAATGAGAATGCTACAAATGGTGAGTCTGCAGTTACTCATTACTTCAACAAAACCTTTCTCATGGGCTTCTTTTTGGATCCTTTTCATATGGGCTTCCATGGCCCATTTCCGAATCCAACTGCACTGTTTTACTCTCAGCGGCGATATCATCTCAGTGACGAGGTTACGGCGGAGTGAGCGCCAGAGCGGGCCGTACTCCGCGGAGTTGATGGCACACTTTCCCATACTGAAGATGAGTCGGATGGGAGAGTCTTTAGGCCTGCTAGCAAACTGTGGGCCTCGCTGGATTAGGGCTTCGTGGATTAGGTCAGCGTTTGTGACGATTATCAACGTGCGCTGACCCATTTGCATGGTGAAGATTGGACCGTATTTTAGACGTAAATCGCGAACGATGTACATAAAAGGACGACGTTGGAGGATGACTTGGAAGAGGTTGCCGACGATAGGCCAACCTGGTGGTCCGGGTGGGAGGTTTTTGGCACCGCCGCCGGTTTTGGACCAGCGGGTCCACCACCAGCGGAAGAAAAGGAGGGTGAAAGAGAACATGATAATGTCTAAGAGTTCCATGGTTGAGAAGGAATGGAAGAAAGTTGATGAAAGAAGAGTAGTGAAAAAGAGGGTATATAAGAAGAGAGAAGAGTGAAGAGTAGTTGTGTAAGTGGTTAATTGCATTCAATAAAATTGAGCAGTCGTAATTACTATTAAGTACGGAGTGCTCAGCATCAGGACAGATATTCAACGCATCCATTTGCATGTGACTCCGAAAACTGTTACTATCATTTTTTTATGTGTATTTATGTCCTAAAAGCAAAGAAAAAGAGTTTAATTACTATATTATTAAAAAGTTTTATTTACGTTAATTTATTACAATTATTTATATGTGTCATTATAGAAATGGTTAAAGTCAAAAATAAATATTTTTAAATATTTCAGGAATATGGTGATTATTGATATATCAATTAAATTCGAGTAAAAAATATTTTAAAAAACAAAAAAATTAATTTTAAAATTTTGAATATAAATTATAAAGTTCTTAAAATTTGGTAATTGATAAATACATATCTGAAATTATAAAGTCTTTAAATTTAATCTATTTATTAATTAATGGGTTAGAGTATCATAAAATGTATTTAGGTTGTTAAGAGGAGATTTTTATTAAAATTGTCTAATTTCATATAATTTTTAAATATAGATGTTTTGTTTCGGGCCGATCAAAAAGGCACTGGTTGATCACGAGAAAGAAGTCATGATTCATTCGGACGACTCGCGACACAGAAAAACTATCCTATAAAAGAGAATATGTGATTTCGAGTCATGATACATTCAACGACTCTTAAGCTTTTACACCTTAAAAATGGCGGGTTGTTATAACTACTCCACTACATAAATATCACACTCGCCAATTCTAGGTACATAATTTCAAATTATAATATCATTCACTCTTTTTTTTACACATATTGAACGTTGGAGTACTAACCTTGCAGGTCATCCATTCCTCCTCCGCAAGTGAGGCTCAGGCCCACTGTAATCACCGATTCTCCTTTCAATTCTAGTTCCAAGTTTAATTGGAAATTTTAATATATGGATAAACTAAAATCTGGTTCGTCTTTAAATCGTAAGATCTACTCAAATACCTTCGCTCTGACCTCTCGTACCACCGCCAGCCTCACAACCTGAAACATTGCCTAGTTTCTAACTGTTGCAAGCTAATCTTGGAAAAAAAGCACTAATGAGTTGTTGAATAGCATGTATAACATCGTTCGAAAACATAATTAATATGCGATAGAGGAAAGATTGCTCATCCTTGAATAAATCCTACACAATGTGCCACACAACTTCAACATGCCCAACTGCACACTATTAGAAGTCTTTTCACACACCAAACTCATGTCTCTGAAATTCTCGATCAATTCTAATTCTCAAACCTTTAGCATTGACACATGAAATGACTTCTTACTCAATGAATCAGCTACAACATTGGCTTTACCTGGATGGTAACTCAAGCCAAAATCACAATCCTTCAAAAATTCAAGTCATCTCGTATGCCTTATATTCAACTCTTTCTGATTGAACAAGTACTTCAAACTTTTGTGTTTGTTGAACACTTCTAATCTAGAACCAAACAGATAATACATCCAAATCTTTAACAAAAACACCATAGATGCCAAGTCTAGATCATGCATAAGATAAACCCTCTCATGAACTTGCAACTGTCTAGAAGCATAAGTCATAACCTGACCATTCTGCATCAACAAACCACCTAGACGCATCTTTGAAGCATCAAAATACACAACAAATGACTCACTTGGATTCGGCAAAATCAAAACTAGAATATACGTCAACTTCCTCATGAGTTCTTGAAAACTCACCTCACGCTGGATATTATAAACAAAATCTTGACACTTTCAAGTCAATTGAGTCAAAGATAATGCCAACTTTGAAAAGTTTTCAATAAACCTCATGTAACAACCAACTAGACCAAGAAATTTTTTGATCATGGTGAGAGACTTTAGAGATTCCCATTGTAACATAATATTAACCTTTGATGGATCAGTAATGGTCGATAGTTATCGACAGATAAATCTGCAAGCATACAGTTGATTGTGTAGTCTTAAAAAGGTTGTCGAACCCACAGGGAAAAGATAATCAAACTAATGTTATCTATGGTTGCTGGGCAAAGCTAAAGCTTTAGTTAAACAGAAGTTAATACTAATTACGGGGCTGAAATCAAAAATCTAAGAATAATACTAAAACGAGCCCGAAATATGATTTCCGCGCACCTAAGGGACCTTGTAGATAAAGGGTACTAGTTGCATATACACGCCTATTCTGTAGGATATACCAACTTAAAGGATTCGTCTCACGCTCTCGCGGTCTTAACTAAGTCGTACTTCTTAATCCCAATATTTTGCTTTCGCTCTCCCGGTAACTAAGAATTACTCTTTGAAAGTCGATATTATCTTAGTCAGCACATAAAGCACTCTCGTTGTATTTCGATATTGATGCCTAATTTCTACTATATAGTTCACTCCTCACGCTCTCGCAAATCTCGGCTTAAACCTTTATTTGCTTCTCACTCTCGTGACGAAACAATGTTAAATAACCTCTCACTCTCGTGACAAAGCTACTTAAATTAAACTTAGAGATTACAACCAAAATGGCATGCATCACAATTTCGTACCTATTATAACTACGGAGTCCCGCTGATTACGACGGTTCTCATAAGACGGTCTTTAATTAATCTAGCCGGACATGGTTAATTCTAATTCTAACATGTTAACGATGCTGAGAATTACAACATACATATTGAATTAAACTTAAGAAAATATTAGTTTTTGGTTTTTATGAAAATAAATTAAGTGTAGACGCGTAGAAATAAAATGCAGTAAAACAAAAAGAAATAATAACCTGTAGATTGCAATGGAATAAATGAAAATGAACTTTTTTTATTAACTTCGATCCGAGTATTACAGCAGTGCAACAAAAAGGTAAATACAATATTGCAACAATTCCTCGGTGTGAGCAATTGTTGCTTTGGAAAAGTAATATACGGGTTAAAAGTATAAAAACAGTTCGGCAGCACTTCTGCACGGGTTGGTTCTCTTCGAAACATCCTAAAAGGGGCCTATTTATAGAGAAAAAGTCAGTTGAATAACTCCCCATTCAAAATTAAAACTTGGAGGGAAAACATAACCGCCAGCAACTGCCCAAAAATTGATTTCTGCAGTTGAAACTGCTCCTGTGAACTGCACGGTGATCGCTGTGGTGCCCATGGCAAGTGCCATGGTCTCTAAGGGCAGATGGCGAACACCATTTGGTGGTGGCGAGCGCCATTCAGCAAGGCTGGTAGAATTGCTGGATTTTCCTTCTCTTTCACTTCTTTTCTTGATTTCTTCTAGAATCTCGACGGGAACGTCTGTCAACATAAAAACAGAGTAAGAACACATAAAAATGCGAAAGACTCGATAAAAACTTAGACCTAAAAAATACGATACAAACTCATGTTATCAAACTCCCCCATACTAAGACTTTTGCTTGTCCTTAAGCAAACTCCCAACAAAAATAAAACAGTAAATGCAGCGCTTGACTCGTAGGTACGACAAAAACAATCAAAGCACAAGGTTGCTAGGCTAATGCTAAAGGGATAAGTACTAAATAGTGAAAATAAGGATACCGTACCAACACAAATCCACCAAAGCGGACAAAGATTTCCTTCCTATGCAATACCAATTCAAATCATGACATTATAACTTGACATACAAACTTTGTTCTTATTCACCTCTCTTTCATTCTCGCACAATCACACTAAGTCCGTTATCCTTTGTACTTACATGGTAAGTGAACCTATTAGTGTTATACGATCTCTTATTCAAAAATTCTTTCTTTTTAGCATATTATATTTTCTTTTGCTTACGAATTTCAAGAGTCCAAACCTTTAGGCTAAATGGCCGGGTGAGGGCCACCTAACTTAGCGAGAACTTGTCTTTCATTTGCTTTTTCTATAAAATCATATAATTCAATTTTTGAGATTAACACATATTTGCATCAGTTCATTACTTAGTTCGTACATAAAGATGATCCTGACGGCTATTATAAACTAATCAAGAGGCTACTTCTAAAGAACTAGGAATAAGGTCTCGACATAATGTATATTTAAATCAATATCACATATTTAGGGAATCTAAAATGTAGGAATGGTACCGATATTAACAAAACTTTCCCAAGTCCGACTAACGTAGCCTAAAGGTAAACAACATATACTCGCAGTGTCATGTTGTTGCGGTGGAAATAAGATATCAAACTATTAATTAGTTTGAATCACAATTCTTGATTCACAACCGCTCTTTGATTTATCCGAAGGAAAAGGTTAAAAGAGGGAAAACCTATTTTTGCATCGTAAACACAATGCTGGGAGACCTAGGTAAAGGGTTTGTTAAATTTAGGGAAGGTACTAGCACCCTAAACTTCTGTAGTACTCTACAGGAACCTTTTGTTTATTGTATGCTTTCTATCTTTATTATCTGTTTGATGTATATATTGAGCTAAGGGATAGAGTGACCTAAAGAGACCTAAGGTTTAGTCCTAAGTTTACTCGGCAAGACGTTGCATCTTGTGCCTACATATCCTGACGGGAATGGAATCAGAGTAATTGTAGTTCCCCTCGAATGGGAGGTTATAAACTTCTTGACTGCGATCAAGGTTTCAATGGGGAGTAAACGTATCTTAAGGACACACTTACGTGGAGTCTTAAAACTCATACTTCTATGTTGTATTTGTTAAATGAAATTAGGGTTAAATTAGGGACTCCACGGCGGGAAACCCTAAAAAGAGTACGACGACTCTTTGACCTAAAGTTAGGGTAAATGGCGTTTTCGTCCACGGCAGGACACCTAGGCTATTAGGGTTTTGGAAATGGTCAAGAATTTAGGGTTATTGACTAGACGGTCAAACGGATAGACCTAATCCTTTGGAAGGAATCCTAACGGTAAAAACATGCAAACAGACAAAATATCATACGACAGAATTAAAATACGGAAAAATAAAGAAAGCGGTAAAAGAAGCATCGC